TCATTCCAGAGCTGGGCACCTCAGATCTACTTTCATCCAGCCACTGCCTGAAGCCATCTTCCTGTCTACTGGATGCTTATAGTGACTGTGGATATGAGGGCTCCCCTTCTCCCTTGAGCGACATGTCCTCTCTGCTTGGTGTAGACCATTCTTGGGAGGACACTTTTGCCAATGAACTCTTTCCTCAGCTGATTAGTGTCTAAGGAATGATCCAGTGCTGTTACCCTTTTCTTTTCACCATTATACTGCCTGGAAGATAGCAAAGAAGCCTGTGCTTCATTTAAAAAAGCCAAAGTAGAGGGTGTACAGTGCTAGGGAATTCCCTTAAAGTATTTGTCTATTAAACTGTATAGGTCACCCCAAGTATTGTCTTTGTCATCCAGCAGTCCAAGGTACTCAGATATATTACTACAATCCAGAATTACAGTTTTTGAGGTTGTACCCTTAAGGGCAGTAGTCTGCCCTAAAATTCTTACGTAAGGGTCATCAGACAAGCATCTTAGACATGAAATTTATGAGTGGCCCTTTAACATTTCTTTCCCCCCTTCTTGGCATCCCAGGCTTGCCTCCAATTTTAAGTCCTTTAGTTTGCTTCTGCAAGCAGAGAACACCTACCTGAGGGGGCTCCTTTCCCTCATGTACAGTTCACGTAAAGATCAAGAATCTTGTGTAAAACTATGGAAATTTACTATGTAAATGCTTGATGGAATCTTTCCCTGCTAGTGTAATTTTTGGAAGGTGCTTTCTCCATTTATTTAAAACTACCTGTGCAATTAAAAAGTGCAATGCAGTGTCTTTGTTCTTGGGTAAGTCTTACTGTTTTCTCTAGGTGTTTCACTGTTTGCCATGATAGTGATTTACCCAGCTTCAGTGAGCATGCCACTTTTTAAAGGTTTTTTTCCCCCTTAGTTATTGCCTGCTTCAGTTTCTGACTGCTATAAGTGATATAATCTACTCTTTGAGCAGTTACTGTATTTCTGAGTTTCTTTAACCTAACTGGCCAATATCACAGATTAGTAAGTGGCAGAGCTAGAACGCTTAACATGCTAAGAGAAGGACATGCCATTAAATACCAAGATTCTCTTGCCATTATTATAGGGATTAGGAACATTTTCTAGACTCAAACTCCCTGGGTTTAACTCTGCCACTGGTTAGCCAGGTAACCCTGGACATATAATATCACTTCCTCACCTATGCAGTGGCAGAACAGTCAACCTCTCTAAAGGTTGGTAGAGGATTCAAAGAGATGATGCATCATAAGTTCTTGATATACATACACCAGGCACCATCCCAAGCACTCAAAAGTTAGCTCTTCCCTTAATCCACTCTGGAGAGAGTTTAAACTTAGAGAATTAGATATCCTCTAGAACTTGCTTCACAGAAGAATGAACCTGTTTAAGAAAAAAAACCTGACACATTAATATTATCTGAAAACTATAGAAATGATAATCTCATCATCATTCATGTGCAACTTTTCCTTGGGAATCTTCTTAAAAGACACTGAAGGACTTCCCTCATTTATAGAAAACATCTCACCTATACCAGGATCCTATGTCAACATTAAGACTACTACTACAGCAGTCAGAGTGAATGAGTATAGACTAAAGGTAGGATTCAAAAGGTCCCAAGCAGCAAGACCAAGCACGCTCTACTTTCAGCCAAGTACAAGGGATCATGGTGTGACTGGAAGCATGTCCACAAGACAGCCTAAAATCCCTGGTTACAAAAGCCAGAGCTCAATCCTAGTCTGTGGCAACGCAAGCTTACTTAGGCTCAGTTTTCCCTTTTTTGTTTTAAAATTTATTTTTCTTAGTAATTTCTCCACCCAATGTGGGGCTCAGACTCACAACCTGAGATCAAGAGTTTCACATTCTTCTGAGTGAGCCAGCCAGGCACCCCTAGGCTGTTTCTATCCGGTAAATGTAGAGAGAGCCTCCAGCAGTCCCCATGATTAAAAATCTTATCACCTGATTTTCTATAACTGAAAACTTAAGTGCTGCAAATCTATTTAAGGATTGTCTAAACAAATGTAATTACAGATGCATTTTAGCTACTCTCTATAATAGAAGCGTCTGGAGATTGAGGTTCAAATAATTTACATTCAATGACATCACATGAAAGCAGCAGCTGTACTAGCAGGAATAACACACAGGACATATATAACCTGTGTCGGTCACTGGGGTTTTCATTTTCTGCACAGATGGGTGAAAATGACTAAACACTGCCCATTCTCGAGAAAACACCCGGTATTTAAGGACATCTCAATTAAACTGGTCAGAAATAAAAATCAAGACATTTGCCTGCAAAACCAAAGCAAGATTTCTATTAAATGCAGAGGGTTGTCCATAAATGAAACAATCAGGTGGCAAATGTCTTCATACCATTTCCCTAAGCCTTGTAACACCAATCTATGTGTGCCTCCTTCCTTTTCTACTAGGTATGCTACTGGAGCAAAGTAAAGACAGAACTGTAGGCAAAAGGTAACTTGGCCGACTCCAGGAATATTTCATGGCATCAAATTCTAATATCCTATGAAATTTTTACTTCATGACTTCTCAAATTCATTAAAGGACAGGAAAACTGGCTTGTTTACCCACTCAGCAGTTGTTGAAAGACAACACCCTTGTCTTGCTGGAGCTGTAGTCAAAATGCATGCCATTCATCTCTAAAATGCCACTGACAGGGCACCTGGGTGGCTCAGTTGGTTAAGCCACTGCCTTCAGCTCAGGTCATGATCCTAATGCTGGCATCAAGTCCCATATCAGGCTTCCTCTACTCTGCAAGGAGCCTGCTTCTCCCTCTCCCTGCCACTCCCCCTGCTTGTGCTCTGTCAAATAAAATCTTTAAACATAAAAAAAATAAAATGCCACTGACAGAGTATTTGCACCAAATGGATATATACAAAAGTGTATTTTCTCAAGGAGTTTAATGTTACACTGACTGAACCACACTTTATTGTGGATTATGTCGATGAACTCTAAATGACATTTTAGATATTCTGTGAAAACACTATAAATTATAATCACTGGTCAAGTAGGAAGAACACTGAAGCTTGGTTAAGTTCAATTATAACTGAAATTATCACTATCTACTTAGCTTTAGTTTCCAAATACGTAAAATAAAGGAATTAGATAGCTCTTAGCTGTGATTTCCAAATTTTGGTGAAAAACAATATCCTGAGTTTTCTGTAATTACAACCCAAACTTAAGTCTGCCTGGCCACACATCAGGGACCCACATCATCAAGGCAAAGTTGTAAATATGCAGGCAATACTGCCACCCAGTGACCTGTCAACTCTTAAGGAAATTACCACATAACTGAACATTATGGAATTTCCCTATTCCATTTTCAATGGTCCTAAACCTGTAAAAAAACAACAAAAAACTGTGAACTCTACCATTTCCAACTGTATATTTAAACATTTTTGAAGACTGTCACTACTGTCATCCGAACAGTGGCAGTCAATCACCACTGCCAATCAATGCTGTTGACAGCAGTGAATTGGTAAATAGAGTGGTGAGCATTCTGTAAGTATTTAGAACAGCAAAACAGTCGCCTATTTTGGAAATACTGAATTCACTTATACAGCTTAACTTAAACCCAACATAATCATCCTCTCAAATTTAAGACCCTCACTGATACAAATGCTTTTTCTTTTTTATGATTTTTTTTTTTATTTGAGAGAGAGGGGCACAAGGAGAAGCAGACTCCCCTGGACTCGAGGATCACGACCTGAGCCAAAGGCAGATGCTCATTCGACTGAGCCACCCAGGAACCCATGAATTCTGCTTTAAATACAATTTAGAAGCAAGCAGAGGTAGCTGATTTTGTTTACTTATGGCAGGAATACAAATACCTCATGAAGTCAAAGCACTTAAGAAGTTTTATTGAAAACAATAAAATACAGAAACACCAGATTCTCGTTTTAAAGTAAAATTGACAGCATCTTCCAGAACCTTCCTTGTACTGTACCATTCTGGTCACTATTAATGAAAAACCAAGTTTTCAAATCCAAAATAATTAACGAACCTGCTTATAATAAGCATCGTTCTCATGGTTCTAGCCCCTACCCTATTTTCCTAAAATTTTACATTTGCACCTTTTCAAAAATGAGCAAGTTTTGTTTTTGTTTCTGCTTTTTTAAATGACTGATTGAGATTTGTGAGAACTGAACTTTATATTTAAAAAAAAAAAAAATACACACACACACCCTACTCAAACTCAGAGAAAATATACATTTGTTCATTGAAGCTCACCTGCTTTAGGTAATTTTTCTCTTCACACATTAGCATAGTAAGCCAATGTTTGATCCATGCTTCAAAAGTTGTACAAAATGAACAGACCTGTTGATTCCCTAAGGAAACCTTAAGGCAAAAGCAAAAGCCTTACACTACAGAAGAAAAACAAAGCAGAGGCATGGAGGCTGTGGAGATGGCTCAGATGAAAAAGCACCACAAGGATGAAGAAAATTTCTGTACAAACATATGCAAAAGGATAAAGTTTAAAAAAGGAGCATTAAACATCCATTTTCCTGCAGAAATAATCACGTCAGATAATCTGACTCCTGAAACAAGTTGTTTGGATTTTAATTAACAGACTCTTCATTCTCTCCTGTATTTTATCAGTGGTATCAGAGCCCTGTTTTGGAGCTCTTCTTCCTTTTCCTCATACAGACCTTGGATCAGAGGCCCGGCCCACAATTCCTACCAAAGACTATCTTAGTGTGTTTTGGGTCCTTCTTTGGAAAGTTGTGAACTCCCCTTCTGCCTTAACACTGGGACTAACTCCAAATTCTGGGCATTCACTTCACGTTTTTGAGTCATACCAGAAGAAACTTTTAGGACGGTGATTTCTTTAAGGCTACAAACTTTTTAAGTTGGTCCCATTAAACAATGACCTAAAGGCAGGAGTTTTTCAAACAGCATGAATCAAACACTTGCACATCTCAACAGAATACAGTTTACATTCATCTCTAAATCTGAGATTAAGAAACTATTAGCTGGTTTCCAACTGGTTTTAATACTGGTTTGAAGTTTGAATAGTTTTATTGTGTAGACATTAAATATTGTTTAAATATTAAACATTAAATATTTTCCTGACTGTCCAGACAGAAACAGAGAAAGCAGGAACAGGCAAGGGAAGAAACAGTCCAATTAACAGACTTGTTACTTCTACGCCATCTGTAACAAGGGGAGGGATTTCAGCATGGGTTTCGAAAACGTCTGGGAGCTTGTTTCTAAAAAGTCACCTCTACTTGGCATAAGCCGTTCTTTTTCCTACACAAGGTATCTGAGTCCTACAGAGGGGGAAAAAACCCCAGAAAACAAAACAAAAAGAACTGGGGTGGTCTCCTGTTGTGTGATGTAAGGGCAAGTATTACACTATTACACTCATTTAATAAGTTATAGTGGCTATTTCCATAGCACTAAAGAAGTGTTATTTTACTTGGCACTACTGAGTCCTTGCCACACAGAAGAGCCCTTCCTGAGAAATAAAGAACTTCAATCCTGGTTATCCCCAAAGGGCACCTTGAGCCTGGTTTAGTTCCTCAAGATGAAGATATCCCGCTAGCAGGAAGCCATTCTCTAGGTTTACTGCACAACAGCTGAAGTACCAGGCAAGGTGGCTGGTTCAGTAACTCTCAATGTCACTTACCCATTTCAGTTAATTATTGTCATTGTTTTCTACATTAACACTAAAAATACTCAACTTGCTAATATAGGTACAACCTTTTTAAAAATACCTATCGATGCTGGGCTTCGCTGACATGGCAGTTCCTTGGGATTACTTAAGGGAGGCTTCTCCCATAGCCAATTTGAACATAAGGTTACCTCACGATCACTTTTTAACGATCACTCAAAGTTAATTAAGTTGTAAACATTCCTGAATAACCGGGCTTATCAATTATGCAAGGGAAACCAAGGAGCAACTGTAGCACAAGGCAAAAAAGCCTTGAAGGAAAAACCTTTTTTGTATTTTCATTGCCATTTTCAGAGGCTACTAATGAGCCACAATGCTACCAGCTATTTAATCAACGTAGCTACACAGAATTGACAATAGACAAGTTTCAGAGCCTCTGTTAAATCTCTTGGCAATAGGCTAAGCTACTTTCCTCCTTCCTCTTCCCAATTTTAGAGTCACCACTATAAACAAGCTCCGATCTATAGACGTAGTTGTGACTCGGCTGTCAGGGTACATAGTAGGAGCATCCTTCTTTCTTAATGCATTGTTTCAAATTCAAGTGTCTGAATATTTGCCAACTATCTGAACGGTTTAGACAATGTGACAGATGATTTAAGTCACCCTTCGACACACAGCTTCTATACTTGCCTTTGCAGACTGCATCTTCCATTCCCTTAATAAGCCCTGTGGAAAACTCTTTTCCCTTGAGACAAGCTTCCGTAGCAAAAAAGTTGGATTCACGAAATGGCTACCCAAAATGAGAGTCCCACCCCAAATCACAGGTGGAGATATTAATACACCCGTTTCATAAAACTTTCAAGTCCCTATACTATACAAATACAAGTAGGCTCACGACTAAATACATGAGCCTTCTAAAATTTGACAACTTTAGCATAGAAACTGGTTTCTAGAGTTCCATCTCTTCTTCTGTGCAAGCAGCTGTCTCCAAACTATTGTAAACAGGCATCCCTGTTTGCCGAGGTTCCAAGAACAGTTCAGTTCTCCCAGGGAAGGCAGGGCCAGCAGCTGCATGCTTAGTTTGGCTCTCTCCTGTATAGTTCTTAGCATTAGATGTCGGCTTTGGCTTATCAGAAAGGAGTTCAGGGAGAGGTTTCCAGAGCACAAGCTCCATGGAAGGACGGCTCCTAAGACATAAAATACAGTTTCTTATAAAAAAAATTTTAGGATATGGAAATAAAAGATACATGTTGAAAAGCTAATGTTTGCTATCAAATATTTAGAGTTAAGAACTGACAGAATTAAAATAGGAGATTTTATGATCTAAAAAGATCTTTAGAAAGGTCACACAAACACATACAATTTTATAGTTCTGCTCATATTTTTAGAGATTTATTTAAAGAAGACACACATGCGTACAAATAAGTGAGGGGAGGAGCAGAGAGAGGGAAATAGAATCCCAAGCAGACTCCCCGCTGATCATGAAGCAGGCCATGGGGCTCGATGCCAGGACCCTGAATCATGACCTAAAGTGAAACCAAGAGTTGGATGCTTAACAGACTAAGCTACTCAGATGCCTCCGTTCTGCATGTTTTTAACCAAAACTACTAGTTGTACTGATGCTGTGATTAAAAGTAATATAGGAGTACCTGGCTGGCTCAGTCAGTAGAGCATGCAACTCTTGATCTTGGGGTTTTAAGTTCCAGCCCCATGTTGGGTATAGAGATTACTCAAGATCTTTAAAATAAAAGCAATATAAACATCCAATGTAAAAAAAATAGAGGCCCTTGATTTAATGTAAAATTCCTTAAACTGTGGTTAATATTAGTAGGTATGGGCTACTACCTCGTACTAAACCTCTATAAATGAAAATGAAATACTGACCAAACACATTAAACGTATCTCTGTTATGCCTTCTGCTTAGTACAGCTACAAAGTAGAATGCTTTTTGCAGTAAGTAAAAACGATTATGGCCCCAATGCCTACCTACCCCCATGGTTTGATAGTTTCTGGGACCCAAAGGCAAGTAAGACAAACCACAATGAAGAGGACCCCAAAATGCTAGCTTCTGGAAAACTACCAAGAGCAAAAAGTGCTCTTTTTTAGGCTGTAGGACAACATGGCCTACTTACTCTTGGCTAAACTAACTACCCACCCTCAGAGTTAGGTAGTTAATTATATACCCAAGTTAGGGAGCTAATGCAAAACTTATGTGATCTAATATCAGCTGAACCCATTGTGGCCACAGGCAATACTTATCTACCTGGCATCACTCGGACTGCTGTTCTCAAGAGATTTTTTTCAGATACCGGACACCTACCCTCATACTGAGTTATCAAATCTACCTACAGTTTTTTCTAGGCAATTATCTAAATAGCACTTCAAACCTGACTATTATTTTACACATGCTTCAGATCATGTAAGCTCAAGGATTATAAGAATTACAGAGCTATCATTAGTTCTTGTGTTAATAGCCCCAGGCTGCTTCATTTTTAAGGATCTGATGTTTGCTTTCTAGTTTCCTCTCCTGTCCTCACACTATACTGTCACTACTCCCTAGGAGTTTTTTTCTCACTTCCTGTTCCAGTGTTTCTACTCTAATGGAAACCAGGTAAGTGGGCTCATTAAACTTTGTAACTCTACTGACTACTGGGAGATTTCTTTTGGTATGTTTTCTAAGTCTCAGTGGTCTTCCTGGATAACTGAGAGCCTGGTAAACAAGAACTTTTGAAATGTGGTTCCTATATCCTATGATGCGAATTTAGGAGAATGGGCTCTCTTGCCAATCCTCCCAACCCCAAACATTAGAGTGTGTGTTTCAGGACTTCAAAAGAATTGAGGGTTAAGAAAGTAAGGCAGCCACTCAACTCTGAGTCTGCTTGTCTGTCTCCCTCTGTTCCTCCCCATGTGCTGTCTCTAAAAAATAAGTACGCTTTTAAAAATAAATAAATGGAAACCAGGAACCAACACTTACATGGACTCAATCATTTTCTTTGTAAAGACTTCATCAAACTCCCTCTTCAAACCTGTTTTCATGGTGTCAGAAAGAACAAGACTGGGGAGATGGTTAATATTTCTGTCAGCTTCCACTTCTTCATCCTCATCAATTATCCTAAATAAAGACAGCAGAAGCAGAGAAAGAAAAATTTAGTCGAGCTATTATATATTCTAGCAATTAGACAAAATTAAAAAAAAATAAAAGCAACAGGTGCTACAGGAAAAGAGCAAGTAAAATATGAGGCTCTGAGTGAAAAAAGTACATACAGGAGAGTTACTCAATGTTTCACTTAAAAATTTTTACATCAGATGCAATCACATTTGAAGAATGTGTCCCTGGAAACGACCATAAACCAAAAAATTAATATTCCCAGACAGTAGGTGAAAATATTTAGTGCAGTTCTATGAGAAGAGTTTGACATTAAATGTGTCGATTTTGAGTTCTCAAATTTTTATAGTCTGAGAGGTTGAAGATTACTGTTATCACCAAATGATGAATTAGACTAGCTTAAGAGTAGAGATATCCCATGGGAACTGCAATAAGCCAATGATACACACTACCCATTTACCTGTCCTCGATTTCTTGAAGCCTCCTTCGTGCAACTTCACACTGTGGTTCTCCCGTTGTCTGATCCATCTCTTCACATGTAACATCTAACATGCCAGGTGCAGAGAGGCCACTAGTGCACGGATTTACTCCATGACTCTCTATATCCTGATGTGCACAAAGAATCCAGTCATTAGGACCAGCACAGAGCCCTGCTTCAGTTAGCCTTTTCTTTCTTACTGGACAACTGGAAAAAAAACAAAAACAAAAACAAAAACAAAAAACTCAATGAAAATTCAGTCATATTAATGTTTATCATCCCTTTCTCTAACCAAACTCTTATGTAAAAAACACTCTGATTTTTTACAGTGTGATTATAAGACAGAAAAACATGCATTTCCTTTTGTCATTCTGACAGCTTCCTTAAGATGTTTTCTTCTACTGCTCTCTACCAAATTAGGCTACACCTGCAAGATTGTGCTTTTTCAGATTAGTGTTCAATGTGGGAATATAGAGTCATTCCTACTTATTTGGCTCTGGATAGGTCAAGTGGAAAGTAAAGAAACCAAACCACATGCAGCAATTCAGAACCAGCCATATTTTGTCCTGATTCTGCTTGCTCCCTACGGGGATGTGATCCACAGGCATACTGTCTTCCCTTAGGGCAAAAGATAAATGCTTTATCAGGTCGGTTCCAGGTACTCCAGGTTGCAGAGGATACTGTGATTTCTTGGTCCTCTCAGAAATGTCGGAAGACTGTCATTTGACTCTGAGCCCCTTACTAATAAGGGTGTACGTTTTTCTCCCGCTTAAACCATTTTCACTTCCTAGAAAAATTTGTATTACAGAAAGCCCTTAGAGTTCATCAATTTCTTTGTTTTGCAGATTTGGAAACTAAGGCCTAGAAAAGCTAAAGTGCCCCCTCCTAAATGTCACATAAGGCAGAGCTCCAAAGTCCTAGCTCTGTGTCATTTTCACTGAAACTTAGGGCCTCCTTAGGGAAGTTCAAGCTCTTACCATGAAGTAGTATTTGCATATGCTGCAATGTGCCCAGGTTGGCTGAAAACTGTCTGAAGCAGTTAAGACAGACAACTGGTCCTACTCTACTTAAGTGCTTTGGCCAGGCGGACTTTACTGCTTGGGCATCAGCAAGTGTGGCCTCAAAACACAGCACAGCTCTGCAACTTAAAAAAATTCATTAATGGCTACCACAGCTTACGAGTCTCTAAACTGAAGGTCAAAGGAAGTGGTATGTATTCTACAAAAAGAAATTTCTATTCATGTTAAGACTACAAAAATCAACATTAGGGGCACCTGGGTGGCTCAGTTGGTTAAATGACTGCCTTCGGCTCAGGTCATGATCCCGCTTCAGGCTCCTTGCTCAGCAGGGAGTCTCTTCTCCTTCTGACCCACCCCCTTCTCAGGCTCTCTCCCAGGAGCGCTCTCTCTCTCAAATAAATAAATAAATAAATAAAATCTTTAAAAAATAATTAACATAAAAGTCTCTGGCACTATAAAATCTGACAAATAATGATACTCTCTTGAACCTAGACTTTTACTGGAATTGACAAATCATTTTTTAAAATGTTTAGTTTTTTGAGGTCTTGAGTATAGGTTTTTTTTTTTAAGATTTTATGTATTTGAGAGAGAGAGAGAGCGCACACACACAAAGGGAGAGGGAGAAGCAGATTCCCCGCTGAGCAGGGAGTCTGATACGGGGTTTGATCCCAGGACCCTAGTGGGATTATGACCTGAGCCGAAGGAAGTTACTTGACTGACTAAACCACCCAGAAAAGGCGCCCCTTTTCTGAGTATAGTTGACATGCAAAGTTACATTAGTCTTAAGTATACAACACAGAGAGTCTACAATGCTGTATCTTATGCTATACAATTGTAGCTATCATCTAAATATACAGAACCCCTCACAAATTTGCCTATCACCCTTGCACAGGGCCCATGCTAATCTTCTCTGTATAGGTCCCATTTTAGTCTACATGGTACCAGAGTAAGCACAAGAATAGTTTATGATTGGTTTTAATTGATAAGAAAATACTAAGACTGTCTAACTATACATCACATATTTCTGTAATATTTGAATAGTTTTATGGTGTGGTGTTTTGAAATCAGGAGAAAACTATACACATAAAACCAGCTACGAAAAAGCAGAATAAATCTAGAAGGGACAGGTAATTTCCTAGCACATCCAACAATTCAACGATGAAATGCAACAGAGTGTATTCTGATTTTTATTATTCTGTATTCAACACAGTCTGTTCTGATCTCTGACTTCTGACATGATTTGGACTATATTATTTCATACCTGTAGGTCCATTTTGCAAATAATCAGAGATCAATGATAATTAAGTTTCAAAGAAAATGTGATATAAAAGACTTCAAAGTATAGGTAAGAGCTATGGAAGTGGCAGGTGGGCAGCACAGTTATGGGCATTAGATATTCAAATGTCAAGTTCCTCATTCTCAGGGCCTCAATCTCTCCATGTGTAAATTAAAGGAAGCTAACCGTTATGTATTGTTATTTATTTTTTTAAAAGCAAGCTCTATACCCAATGTGGGGCCTGAATTCACAATCATCCCCACCCTAAATCAAGGATCCCATGCTCTACAGATTGAGCCAGCCAGGGACCCCAAAGGTGGTTAAATTTTTAAGCCAACAGATTTTACACTTCAAACTTTTCACACTGGAACTCTTTACTCAATTTTCTCTCTCTCTTGCTCTCTCTTTTTTTTAAATTTATTTGACAGAGAGAGATCACAAGTAGGCAGAGAGGCAGGCAGAGAGAGAGAGAAAGAGAGGAGGAAGCAGGCTCCCTGCCAAGCCGAGAGCCCGATGCAGGACTCGATCCCAGGACTCTGAGATCGAGACCTGAGCTGAAGGCAGAGGCTTAACCTACTGAGCCACCCAAGTGCATCTCTCTCTCTCTCTCTCTCTCTCTTTTATTTATTTATTTATTTATTTTGGAAAGAGAGCAAGCAAGCAGGGGAGGGGCAGAGGGAGTGAAGCTGACTCCCGCTGTGTGTGGAGCCGGACACTGGACTCCTCTCAAGACCCTGAGATAACAACCTGAGCCAAAACCAGGAGTCACACACTCAACAGACTGAGCCACCCAGGCATCCCTATTCAATTATTTCTTAGAGTGTAGTCCAAAAGACAAAAGCAAAGAGAGCCCTGTGTATCTGCAGCAATTCCAAGGCAATAAAGAGTATAAATGCTGTCTGGTCTGGTGGTTTTTAAACTAAGGCAATTTTCTAATCTATTTAGCCTATGCATCAGCAAGGTTAGAAAATCCAGCTTCTGCTGGCCAAAAAACAAACAAGCAAAACATATACAAAGTTAAAAGACAAATGACAAATTTGGGGAAACATAACATACATAATAAACTACTGATTTCTTTAGTAAAGATTTCTTATAGATGAACATGAAAAAGATCATTAAGTAAAAAAAAAAAAAAAGATCAATAAGCCAACAGAAAATGTCAGAAACTGGAACAAGACATACAAACACAAATGGATTAAACGGAAAGATGTTCAACTTTAATTTACAAAATATAAATTAAAAATGGTCTTAAAAAAACAACAACAATCTAATTTTAACTTTAAGATCCTATGCTCATACAATTCAATGAATAATTAGAAAACATCCACCCATTAAAATAACATTCAAGGGGTGCCTGGGTGGCTCAGTCGGTTAAGCAGCTGCCTTTGGGTCAGGTTATGATCCCAGGGTCCTGAGATCGAGCCCCAAGTCTGGGTCCCTGCTCAGTGGAGAGCTTGCTTCTCCCTCTTCCTGTTGCTCTGCTTACTTGTGCTCTGTCAAATAGTTATATAAAATCTTAAAAAAAAAAAAAAATTCAAGATGTAGATTGTTGTCAAGACTCTAAAATGGTACTCTATTTCCTCCTCCCTACAGGTAAACACTTTGTTATAGTACTATATATACTCTTGGGATGTTTCTTTTGCCCATATTATGTCTGAGACATATCCCTTGACAGGTGTCATACATTCTCCATCCCCCCCTTTTTTTATGCCAAACAGAACTGCACTATATGAATTTATAATTTACTTTATCCATTTTACTATAGAGGGACATACAGGTTGTTTCCAATTTTGAGCTATTATGAACAAGGATGTTATGAACTTTCTTGTGTCTCCTGCTGAGAGCATGTACACACTCAAGAGGGGAACTGTTGGGTAATAGGGTATGCATGTCTTTAACTTACTAGATAATGCCAAACTATTTCCCAAAGTGCTTGTACCGATTTACATTCTCATCCATAGTATTGCAGAGTTACTGGTGCTCCAGTACCTGGTGGTAAAGTAACAGATCTCATTTTGAGGCTTTACTAGGCATTTATTTCCCTGATAAGGTTGAATGAACACCTTTCATTTGTTAGTCATTTGGATATCCTCTTTGAGTGATTCCTTTGCTCATTTGTCTATTAGACTGTCTACGAGATGTAATTTTTTTTAACCTATGAGTGAAGTGAAAACGTTTGAAAATACAGTTCTGGTGAAGATGGAGAAACATGCATTTCCACTGCTAAAAGGAATATAAATTGGCAACAACTCTTGTTCAAAATTTAAAATGCATGCAAGGAGGGTAGGGAGAGGGTGCTTGGGTTATGGACATTGGAGAGGGTATGTGCTATGGTGAGTGCTGTGAAGTATGTAAACCTGGCGATTCACAGACCTGTACCCCTGGGGCTAATGATACATTACATGTTAGTAAGAAAATAAATAAAAATAAAAAAATAAAATGCATGCAATTCACCATCAAAAAATCCATTAACCTACTTGCAAATATATACAAGGAACTTTAAAAAGAACCGGCATGGTAGATTTAATCTACAGTAAAAGCAAAACATTAGAGGTAACTTAGAAATCTATTAACAGGAGACTGGTTGGTTAATGATCTCTATATATCTGGACCTTACAATAGTATTCTATTCAATGTTGCAGAAGAAATTGGGTAGAACCCTATGTGCCTATATGCAACGAACTACAGGAGAGTAAAAAGATCAACGTGTTGCCAATGTCAAGAGTTACCTTCTTACAAATACATAAAACCACAGGTATATACAGTTATAAAGTTTTCAGATTATCTTCCAAAGGAGAAACAGGAAACAGGTAACCGGGAGAAAAGCGGAGTGTGCATTCTAAGACTTTACAATGTGTATCCTTTCGCACACGTGAAATCCTTTTACTCTCCGCATGTAATAACACTCACATGGATGAAAATTCAAACGTTACTAAGGATTACAGGGAGAAAAGTTTCTCTCTAACAAGCCAGCTATCCAGTTACTTTCCCTAAAAGGAAACCACTGTTACCAGTTTCTCGAGCCTCCTTGCAGAGATACTCGCCGCCCCCCACCCCGCCCCGCCGAGATACTTAATGTTTCACCTTTTCACTCAAAATAAGTTGAGGATATAAAACAAGTTAAACTAAGTGACCATAAAGTGAATAAATGGCACCTGAAACTTACTCATCATCTTCCTCCTCTCGCTTGTGTTTCTTTTTACAGCGAACTGAAACACTGTTGAAACAAACAAAAATCAGTCAACTGAGAAATTCACTGAGCCTGTTTTCGGCATCCACTCTCCCGTTCCTCAATAATCTCGCCCGTCCCAGAGTAGCGAGCGGCTGTCCCTTTCCTTGCTGCCCGGGATTGGATCACAAGGTCGCTCAGATTGGGCGACCCATATAACTAGAAGTTGAAATCTCAACTTCTTACTTTGTCAAAGGAGTGGGAAATAAATTTGGGGGTACGGACGTAGGGAAAACGTATCTGGGGCACGCACTGGGCTAAGCGCTTTACTTCCACGATCTCACTAGCAGGACCACTAGTGTGTCCTGTCCCACTCAGAGGATGAGAAACCGAGTGTCCGAGAGGCACGGAAAGTTAGCGCCGGCGGCCGCGCCGAGGGCACCGCCAGGCTCCGGTTGGCCCAGGTTCCAATCCCGGCCCGACTTGGGCAAGCTCGGCAAAGTCTCCTCGACTCTCGAAGGGCGCAGGCCGGTCGAGGTCCGACCCGGACTCCCGGGCTGAGCGGCCCCGGGCGACTTACAGTTAACGTCCCCAAGATCAGTTTCTCGTCTGCTATCTGGGGGCTCAGGAGTCCCCTACGGAGAGTCGTGAGGAAGATTAACGAGCCCGAGCTGCGCGACCGCACGCCCGGCACCCTCGGGGCTCCTTACCGTCCGCGCGCCGCGCTCCCGCCGGGGCTGCTCGGGGCGGCGCGGAGTCCCGGCCGCGGAGCCAGCTCGGCGCCGTCTGCTCCCGGCTGGAAGGCCCGGCCGGGGAAGGCCGGCGGCGGCTGCAGGAAGTCGGGGCCGCCACTCAGGGGGAGGCCGCTGAAGGGCCGGCCGAGCGCGGCCATGGCCGGGGAGACGAGGAGGCTGCGCCCGCGGCCCCGGCCGCCCGCGTCCCCAGGCCTGGCAGCTGCGGCCACAGCGACTACTAAGAGGCGCCCGCCTCTGAGCCCGCTCTCGACCCCACGTCACGCCTTCTAGAACCCTCCACCCCGGGCCGCCCAGGGGCACGCCGGGATTTGTTGTGTGTGGAGAGCGGCTACCGTGGGTTGCCGGGAGTTGCAGTTCCAGCGGACTACAGCTAACATGGCTGCCTCGGCTTAGCGGGCGGGAGCTGGAGGACCGCTCTGGCGAGCCTTGAATGTGAAGTAAGTTGGTTCCAACCCTCACAACTCTGTACCTCAGTTTTCTCAACAGTAAAACCTGATAATAATAATACCTATCTTCTTAGGGTTGATTGGGAGAAGTAAATGGATTAAGACATGTGGATCCTGGGCACCTGGGTGGCTCAGTGGTTTGGGCGTCTGCCTTTAGTCTGGATCATGATCCCAGGATCCTGGGATGGAGTCTTGCATCTGGCTCTGTGCTGGGCAGGGAGTCTGCTTCTCCCTCTCCCTCTGCCTGCTGCTCCCCTTGCTTGTGAGCGCTCTCTCTTTCTGTCAAATAAATGAATTAAAAAAAAAAATCTTTTTAAAACATGTGGATCCTGAGGTGTCCAGGGGGCTCAGTAGAGCATGGGACTCTTGATATGGGGGTGGGGTGAGTTCATGCTCCCGTTAAGCATAGATCCTACTTTAGAAAACAAACAAACAAAAACTAGGTCTCTTAGAATAGTGCTCAGCACGTGGCACATACTCATTAAACTTCACCTATTAATTCTTTCCATATTTTAATATAAATGAAGTTTGGTGTTGTCTTAGGGGGAACAGCTTGGAGGCTCTCTCTGTCAAAACCTCAGAGTCCTGTGAGAGGTACTGGCCAGTCTTCCAGCCTCTGTTTGGCTCCAAAGAATGTCTTTTCAGAGGGGCTGGCACAGTTGGTTGACCCCAAATTATGTGGGAAGCAAAGGCAAAAGAAAAATTAAATTTCCTTACTAATTACAGTCCATTGACAAGTCCTTGAAACAGGTAGAGTGACATTCCTCTAGGAACTCAGAGCTGCCTCACTGTTAATACTTTGCTAAGGGTAAAAAGGCAATCTTAGCTTGACATTAGCCTGAACTCCAGGATCCTAAAAGTCTACTTTAACATATAAAAATTCCTTTGGGAGCACCTGGGTGCCTCAGTGGGTTAAGCCTCTGCCTTCTGCTCAGGTCATGATCCCAGGGTCATGGGATCGAGCCCCACATCGGGCTCTCTGCTTAGCGGGGAGCCTGCTTCCTCCTCCAATCTCTCTCTCTGCCTGCCTCTCTGCCTATTTGTGATCTCTGTCTGTCAAATAAATAAATAAAAATCTTTTTAGAAAATTACTTTGGAAACTTCCTTCATCTCTACCCTCCAAGATGCATGTTAGCAATCATCCTCCAAGCATGACCCACTGATAAACATCTAAAGGATCTCATGACTAAGGTTTTATTAGAAAGTGATAAATGACCTTTTCCTAACAACAGTGTGCCCCCTCAAGGTCCTGGAAAACTTGCTTCAAAAATTCCTTAGAGACAACGCTATCCCTAACGCTCTCCCAACTTGAAAGTATATAATCGGCCACTCCTCATGAACACAGTGCAGCTCTTTCTGCCCACAAGTCCTGTCCCCATGCTTTAATAAAACCACCTTTTTGCACCAAAGAAATGTCAAGAATTCTTTCTTGGCCTTTGGCTCCAAACCCCAACACTTTCCTATATCACCAACCACTGGTCCTACCACTTTTTCCATCCCAGAGAATGACACTATCATCCAGTCTGGTTGCTCACACCAAAGTCAATGCCCTTTAGCCAAAACCCCCCGAAAAGACACCTATAATGGAACAAAGGTTTCTGGCTGCTTACGGTGAGGAAGTATCTCAGTAAGGAGGTGTTAGAAAAAGCTTGTAATAAGACTTGGGACTGTCTTAGGTGATTTGGGGCAGGGTTCAAGAAAGCAGGGCTTTGTTCTGGAATTAATATTGTCAGGAAGTAGGGATAATTGTATGACTGGGTAACTTAGTCTATCTTTTCTAGAAGGTAGGAAGAATGAAATGAAGCTAAACCTGTAATTGGTAAAGAGGCGAAGTCCTTCTTATTAGCCAGGGGGATGTTTGGACAATTTTGTGGTTTGCACAATGTTCACATTTTCATCTGTGTTTAAACATGATTATGAAGAGGTCATGTTTTTATCTTGATCCATCAAAGTCACTGTCTTAGGCATTCTTTGATGTTGATATTTTGTGGACTTGTTTAACAAGAAGACACCAGGGGCGCCTGGGTGGCTCAGTCATTAAGCATCTGCTTTTGGCTCAGGTCATGGTCCCAGGGTCCTGGGATTGAGTCCCGCATTGGGCTCCCTGCTCAGCAGGGAAGAATGCTTCTCTCTCTCCCACTCCCCTTGCTTGTGTTCCCTCTCTCACTGTGTCTCTCTCTGTCAAATAAATAAATCTTTAAAAAACAAACAAACAAACAAACAAACAAGAAGACACCAAAGCTGGGGCGCCTGCTCAGTGGGTTAAAGCCTCTGCCTTCGGCTCAGGTCATGATCCCGGGGTCCTGGGATCGAGCCCCACATCGGGCTCTCTGCTTAGCGGGGAGCCTGCTTCCCCCTCTCTCTCTGCCTGCTTCTCTGCCTACTTGTGATCTCTATCTGTCAAATAAATAAATGAAATCTAAAAAAAAAAAAAAAAAGACAGCAAAGCTGATCTGATAGCTAGTACCAGGCTAGCTGTCAGAAGATGCTTTTCTCTTTCTAACCAAAAACGTAAGCATCATCAGTAATGCTTCTTTTTGGTTTACCCCCATATTTAATCAATCAGCAAGTCCTATGTGCTTTACTTGTGAAATGCTTCCAGATTCTCTTGATCTTTCTCCCTTTTTTCATCGATCTCAGTATGGTTTAAGAAAAAAAATGAAAGAACCTCTTTGTACCTAATGTAATATAGTGGATCAGATTTAAGTTTTCTTAAAAAAACTTTACTTCGGGGCGCCTGGGTGGCTCAGTGGGTTAAGCCGCTGCCTTCGGCTCAGGTTGTGATCTCAGGGTCCTGGGATCGAGTCCCACATCGGGCTCTCTGCTCAGCGGGGAGCCTGCTTCCCTCTCTCTCTCTCTGCCTGCCTCTCCGTCTACTTGTGATCTCTCTCTGTCAAATAAATAAATAAAATCTTTAAAAACAAAAACAAAAACAAAAACAAAAACTTTACTTCAGCTGAGTATAAAAGATAGTCTCCTGGGTCATTTCTACAAAGGACCACCTTATTCTTCCCCTGAAAAAAATATCCTTCCAGATGATGTTATAGACACGTATAACTTTAAGTATATATTGATGAGGGGTGCCTGGGTGGCTCAGTCATTAAGTGTCTGCCTTCGGCTCAGGTCATGATCCCAGCATTCTGGGATTAAGCCCCACATTGGGCTCCCTGCTCAGCTGGGAGCCTGCTTCTCCCTCTACAGCTCCCCCGTGGCTTGTGTTCCCTCTCTCGCTATCTCTTTCTGTCACAAATAAATAAAATCTTTAAAACATGATATAAATGTATGTTGATGAAAAGGGAGTGTCAGGGAGGAATAATTTTCCTCTGCCCTTGAAGTCCCTCTAGCTGGACTTGATGAGGGAACAGAAGCCTGGCTGAGGACAAAGCAAAAGCTGACACCCTGCAACTTTCCCCCACTCCCACTCCTGGGTGGGACATATGTAACATTCTTTAGGAATTTCCCACCTATCTTAATGTTAATACCTTGCTAATAAGGGAAAAATGACTTTGACAATGGCAAGACCTCTGGTATCCGGTATCTTGGAGGTTCTCTTTAGCATATGAAAGTTCTGTTGAAACCTCCCTTTTTCCTTACCTCCCCCAACCCCATAGTATATAACCTGCCTCCCCTCACAACCTTGGGGAAGCAGCTCTTTCTGCCCATGGGTCCTGTCCCCGTGCTTTAATAAACCACCATTTTTCACCAAAGATATCTCAAGAACTCTTTCTTGGTCATCGGCTCCAGCCCTCACCCCACCAAAACTCACTTATATTGTAAAATTTCATCAGACTGAGAATCAAATTGACATGAGACAGATTAACAAGAGAAAATCAAATTTAATTTTGTGCATATAGGAAATCCACATAGACAAAAGAAATTCCAAACATAATCAACAAGAGGCTTACATGAGCTAAGGAGAGGAGTAGGAGTCAAAAATACAAAGAGGAAGACCATTAACAGGAAAGTGAGAGTTGCTTTTAGAAAACAAAGGTTTCATTATTTTGAATGTTAAGTTTCTTAGGTAAAGAGGAATCCCTGTTAATGGCTCAGTTCTGGTAAAGCAGGCAGTTGAGGGGGTGGTAAGAGCTTTTCTTGAATCTGCTGGGTTTTAATTGTTTTTAACTCAAAATAATGTTCATGAAAAAGTGCCCTGTCTTGTGGCAGCCTGCCATCGGCCCTTATAGTTCTCATACTCTACATCATTCTGAAACTCCTCTCCACCTAATTATATTTGTTGAATGCCTACCCAAATTCATTCTTTTTTTTTTTTTAAGACTTTATTTATTTGACAGAGAGAGCACACAAGTAGGCAAAGCAGCAGGCAGAGGGAGAGGGAGAAGCAGGCTCTCTGCTGAGCAGGAAGCCCAATGCAGGACTCGATCCCAGGACTCTGGGATCATGACCTGAGCCGAAGGCAGCCACTTAACCTACCGAGCCACCCAGGAGCCCCCAAATTCATTCTGTAGTTCACAATTCTGTACTAGGTTGTATATCTCTTATCAGGCAATGTACTCAAATTATTTATTTATTTAAATATTTTATTTATTTTGGGGGGAAGAGCAAGCAAGCAAGCAAGAACAGAGGGGAGGGAAAGTTGGAGAGGGAGAAGCAGACTCCCCAGTGAGCAGGGAACTTGATGTGCGGTTCTATCCCAGGACACTGGAATCATGACCTGAGCCAAAGGCAGACGCTTAACTAACTGAACCACCCAGACACCCTAGAATAATTAAGTACTATTTGCCCATGCTCTTTACCCAAAATCAGTTCCTCACTATAACACCGTGAATTGGATGGAC